CGCGTGTATCCGCGTAATTCTGCGTGTATCCGCGTAATTCAGTCTGCGTGTAACGCGACGCAATTTACTTTGTCGGACGAAAATCACTGGGAACAAGCTAGAGGTAAATTCAACATGGCGACGTAAACATCGAGACTCAAGAACGATGGAGATAACTGCATTCTTTGACACCAAAGAATCCAAACAACGGTACCTGAAGCATAAATTACATTTCAGCACATCTGACTCTTTTATGGAGTTTTAATGGAAAAAAAGAGTCGAGCAAAGCGGCTGAAAAACTCATTGGAGACCAATTTTGACGTTCAGGTCAACCGTGAAAGGTAAGGAATGAACCTTGAAAAAATGCTTTAACGACCATTTTAAGTCAATGTCACGTTCTTTGTTATATTAAATTTCGATGTGAACAGGTAAACTGGTTAAAGTACATGCATATCCTCTGAGAACACTTTATCTGCAAAATGTGCGGGGTGTCATCATCATCATTTTGATTTGGTTTCAGTGAGGCATTTCTCTTTTCCCCTTTTTTCCACGAATTCCCACTTGCCTGAGGACGAAACTCCCTTCCAGCCATCTATATTGGTTAATGGTACTCTGCACCTAACTTCTGACCTGCAGTGTACATGTAGATCGGAAGTATCTTAGATTGGCCAGCAGATTGTTGCAATCGTTTTTTTTTATCCTCCATTCAGAATTTCGAAAGGTACTAAATACTGTTTTATGTGAGAGATTTGAAAATGATGCCAGTGGTTTGCGTGGTTTCCGCTGTACAAATTTGGAATTATGTTGGTCAAGGTGTTCTTTATGCTATAAAAATCATAGAATTCACTCCAGCTATTATGCAGTTTTCTCCGGCTTTATTTTGATTGCCTGATCTAATTTTCAGCTAGGACAAGTAAACTGCCTTTGTTTTCTAATTTGAATAGTCTAGTTAGTGGATTAAATCTCTGCCCTTTAATTGGCTAGATTTAAATTTTTGTAATGCAAGTTTACTTTGTTCCACTTTGCAACACATTTTCTGGGGCACACTAACCCTTACAAAAATATAAAATACAAAGTTTTCTTTCTTGCTCATTATTACACACAGCCATGTTCAATCATTCAACTGTTTGAACATCATTGGTTGTCCTACATATGAGCAAAAAAGTAGGATTCTCTCAGGCCTTGCTCAAATGGAAAAAGGCCCCACCAAAATTGTAGAATTCCTTGCTGAAGGCAATGTGAAGATAAGCAGTTGGGGTGTGATAAAATTCTTGCAAATATTTCAAGAGATGCACTCACTAAAGAATTCAGCCAGAAGTGGATATCCACCTCTTGCTATTATCCACTGTGAAGCTGAATTTTAACGACAGGGAAATGTGATGCAACAATGAGTAGACTTAATTACAGGACCCTTCTTTGATTTGGGTTCAGTTATTGGAGCAAAAGGTCAGACACATGCAACAAAAGCTTGTTTGGGTGCAGTCAGGAACAAAGTGCCACTAAATTGATGAAGGTCATGACCAACGCTTGCTTGTTTTCCATATTTCTCTCAAAGCCATAACATGTCATAAATTACTGTGTAAAATTATTCCACTGAAATTTTTATCAGCAAATATAGTTTGTTGCCATATTTAAGACCCACATGTACTAAGCAATAATTGGCTGGCTGTAAATCTCCCACAGGAACCTTATGTGAGAAAAGATACCCTGAATATCTGAAGATGAAAATCATTTGATGTCAACCAAAAAAGTATGGTGTAAACTAGCATAGTCACTAGTCACTCAGTCCAGTGTCTGTATTCTGCCATAGATCTTAACTTTGGAAAATAATGAAACGATGTTCATGTACATGTAACCACAAACAAAAAGCTATTATTATAATAGTCACTGTATTAAACTGTACATTCACCAAAAAAAAAAGATTTTAAACATATTTGGCCTCTGGAGCCAAGAATTACTGTCTGTTATCCATACTAGAGAGGGTCCATATTGAAAAATATTTTTTGTCTGACTGACTGACTTACTGTCTAATCCTATGGACTTATGGGCTGTACTAAATGATGCACAGACTGTTTGTCTGACTTTTGAATGGAGTGGCTGACTGACAGGCAGACTGACAGACTAACAAAGTGACTGACTAGCTTACCAATTAACATGCTTATAGACTGACCAAATTATTGAGTGACCCATTGAATTACTGACTAACTGAGTGATTGCCTGACCAAGTAAGATACTTTTTGATCAATATACAACTAGTGCACTGACAGGCTGGCTGAGTGATTGATGGAAGGACTAAGTGATGCTCTGATTGTGTCACTCACTTCTGGACTGAGTGGTGTACAAAATGTTTAAGTTGAGGTACAGCCTGCAGTCAAGGCAACTACATCAAGTCAAGGCCAAGCTTACTGTTGCTTCATGCCTTGATGCAACAAGGAGTTGAATGGAATGCCACTCTGTTGCATGGTTACTCTCTAGCATTTCCTCAGGTTACCTTGAGCTGAGGAAATGACTGAGAGACTAATTTTTGACTTGGTGAACTGACTGACAGAGTGACTGACTTACTGATTGATGGTGTGTTTGTGTGACTGATTTACTGTCTGACTGACTGAATCAGACTGATTGATTCACTGATTTAGCTAATAACTAAGGGATAGATATTGATAAACCAACTGATGAACTGATTAAATGACTGGCTGACTTAATATCTGACAAACTCATTAACAGTCTGGTATGTAGACAGACAGACAGACAGACAGATCAACTGACTGAGTTGCTGACTGACCAATCGCTCAGTGACCAATTGACTGACAAAACTGATAGATCGATGGCCTCATCAAGTGATGGACTGACAACCAGTGTGTTGACAATTGATTGAAAGCCAATCTTCATGATGTATTGACTTTGTGACTCACTCATACATGTGTTCTTACTGGCTGACAAAATGAGTAGATGACTAATGAGGGACCACATGCCTGAGTGGTGAACTGTCTTGTGGAATGAATTATGTATTAACTTGCTAACTGACTGATTGGTTAACTGGTGAATAAATAAACTGACTGCTTAAGTATTAATCATAAGTTGTAAACTGTATTTGGAGGTTCTGTGTCTGCAGGATGACCCTCGTTTCACTTATTTTCCTTTTTTGTAGTAATGTTCAAGTTATAATGAAATATTATTTTTCAGGATTCCCCATAGCCACTGAGATGGTAACAAACATGTTCTTGTGCCTGTGATTGATTCCCTTCAGCAGAATGCCAAATCACGTTTTCATGGTTTGGTACAAGTACCGTGTTCAAGGACACACTCGAAAAAGTGTCCATAGTTCAATCCATCAAAGAATTGGTATTTAAAAGTAGCGAATTCATGTAAAGCCACCTTAGGTTTAAATTATCAATCAAATAAAAATGAAATCACTCGAAAAATTCATGAACTTTTCTTGGTAATCATTTCTTTTTAGATAGCTTAATAGGCTGTTTTACAACTTTGTTTTCTCTTAGGACACCATTGGTTTTAACTTGGCTGGGCTGTGTTTCATTCAAAACGAGATAGAAGCTAGAGAGGAGAATCTTTTTGCAAACGCGACATGAACAAGTGAGAAAGAGTCGGAAGAAATACAAATCGAATTTTGTATAAGTTGTGAAATAACTGTGTTAAGTTGCGTTTTTAATTATTAAAATAGTACCTTTGGAAAGAAACTGGAACATTGTCATTGCTAGGCACTTCGAAAAACTATCTGCAAAGAAAATTGGTTCCAAAAAATGAGGAACCAAAGAATGTTACCAAGGAAACGCCCCCTTTAAACATCACAACATCAAAGTAAACCCATCAAACCCGTAAACGGGATATCAGAAAAAAAGGGGAATGTTGCTAGTAATGAAACTCCAAATGGAAACGTGTAACTGCCTGAAGCGCGGGAAAGCACCTACGATAAAGTCGCGTTCGGTTTTAGTCCAGCATTTCACTGGGTGATAAGGTGGGGCCAGTTTTCCACAAAAAAATCTCAGTGCGAGACTATGCAAAACTAATGCAATCTGAGATAATTTTAAACACTCAAAAATTATCCTGGTGCTTTTCTATGATTCAAATTGTATCCCCCTCTGCCTTCCCAAAGCCATTTTCAGCATTTCCCAGGCCTGTATTTTGAAACGAGGGGCATGAGCGAAAAATTCTTTAAACCTTAATGCTGGCTGTTTTCTACTTAGACGAAAAAATGTCTAGATTTTCCATTGTTTGCCCTCTTAAATCTGAAATTCAGATTCCACTTCCAAATTCCTATTGATCAGCGTACTTTTCTAGTGTAGTTGTAGCCGGAGGTTCCACTTCCCCAAAACATTATTCGAACATTTATTTGTATTTTGTAAGTTTAAACAGTACAGCATCAACTTTCCGAATGATAGCGTTCTCAGACGAGCAAAAGCAGCTAATCATCATATCACACAGAGATACAGCTATGACCAAACATTCGACCACATCGCCTGACAAAGACTAGCAATATGGCATTAGAAATTGTGCGATATCAACAAGATTGATAATGACTGAATCATAAGACAAACTTGTTTAATAGACTAACAAGGCAACTCAAGTCAAATCAGTTCCTTGAATAATTAAATTCAAAAAATTTTTATTTTCATTTATCCTTTTATTTCTTTTCTTTTTTCAGTTGTATTCCATCTGAGTTCTAAAGTGTACGCAATATTTCTACGACCATATTTGTACCCTTTGAAATTTACCAAGTTCGAAATCAGGCATCATCAGGCTATCCCATTTTGTTACGTTATTGAACGACAGTAGCCGAACAGCTACTCGGTGCTTTTCGGTTTGCCTTTCAAAGTCGGAAAACTCATTTAAATTACAAATAATTTTTCACAGTTAATATTCATATTTGCCAGCAGTCTTGCACGTGGAAAGAGCGAAAGAAGTTCGAGAAATTTCAGCGTCTTTTGCAGCTTTTCTGGGGCCACAAAACATATCACTTCCACCGTTATAACCTTAGATACAGTATGGTCCGTTC